CTGAAATAACCGGCTCTCCTCGCATGGGGGTAATGTCGCGGTCAAAAACACCATCTGCACGCCACACTGATGCAACCGACCTAATTGCTGTAACCGTGGGCGAAACTTCTCGGACTCGTTCAACATCATATGGCATTCGTCAATGACAATCCGATCTAACCGCATCAACTCGCGCTGGCGGTTCAAAAACGACTGGAACCCATCCGTGAATACGGACTCGGGCGTGACGAACACAATGGCCGCATGATCGGGATGTCGATTGCTATCCCACTCGACACATGGAATGCCGGCCGCCTGGCATCGCTGTTGCAAATCCGCACGTAATGCCGTCAATGGCACCACTACAACGGTCAATCCGCCGCGCTGGGCCACCCACGCGGGTAACATAAACAACATGCTTTTCCCACCGCCGGTGGGCATCACCACGACCACCCGGGAATGGCCGGCTTGAATCGACTGGATGGCGGCCCCCTGCACCCCACGGAACTGCATCGTGGGCTGTCCGGTCATCCGCTGTAACGCCTCGGTTATGTTGGTCGTCTCGACTAAATGCTGACGCTCGTCCCGCATTATAACCCCCTCGTCCTTCCACCGGGGCTGCGGCCGCTTACCCAATACACTACTGGGGATGTCCTTAATGTCAAACCCTAACAAATCATGCCAATGCACGCTGCTCGTCCGAAACCCGGCCTGTCGGCCTGCCGTGGTCCCCTGCTGCTGGCTCATCATCCGTCCGTATACCATCTCGGCCACGTGCGTGGTGTGCGCGGCTTGCAAATCGGCGACATGGCGAATCCATTGCTCATCGTCCATGGCATCCTCGTTCTCCTCGTCGTCGGCCATAACCTCGGTCCCATCCTCGCGGACGTTATGCGGAAACGGTTTGGCATTGCTAAAATACCGTCGGCTAATGGCAATGGCAATGTCTCGGTATGCGGCTAACGTTAATCTATGGTGCAATCGCATCTTGCTTTCCCGAACCAATGCCTCTTTCAAACGCACCGACGTCCACTCGCGTCCGGTCCCGGCATCGATTCCCCATAACTTGCTGGCTTGGGTGTCGGGAATGGCCGGTGACTGGCATATCTGCTGATCATACGCCTGTAATTGCTCGACAAATGGCAATACCAACCATAAATACCACACGATCAACTCGCCCACTTCGCGGGGTATATACCGATGGATCACCTTGGCGTCCCCGCTGGCGTAAAACCCTTTGTGGTACCGCGTGACCAATGCCACTAATCCATCTTCGATGAATACGTTTCGCTGTCCCCCGGCGGCCGTGTTGCGATAACGAATACTCAACAACTCGGGCCCTCGCGCCGGCTGTCCGCTGGTGATATGGACTAATACGGCCAACTTCTCCTTGAAATCGTTGACGAACCCAAAAAACCGTTTGATGCCATCGATACTGCACCGCCCTTCATCCGCGTGGATGAATAACTGCTGCAATGGACGCTCCGTACGCACTCGATCGGACATCCACTGGGCCCCATTGACCGGCCACGACGTGCGTGGATCTTGCAAAAACTCCACCCCGCCTTGGGCTGGTTGAAATCGTCCGCCATGCGGTCCCATGGGATCACGGGAATCTGGTCGGGTCGGCACATCAATACATGGTCGACCATTAATTGCCGCGCACTGGCGCTTAACCCATGGATGAACCCTCGGAATGCACCCATGGTGAACCGCATCGCTTTGTACGATAACTGATCATGGCCTTCCCAACTAATGTGCCCATCGGACGGGGTGTTATAATGGACCTTTAACCCATATCGGCGTAAATCTAACATCCATTCCATCGGGCTGGCGGTGCCGTGGACCATAAATGCATTGGTTATGATACGAATCCATTCGCGGAATGTCTTCGTTCCTTGCCGCGCCTGCTGCGTGAATGCCACTAATGGTGAACTGGATCTCGTGGGTAAATTTTCAAATGCGGGTGAACTGGACAATATCGGTGTGGACGATATATGTGGTGGTGGTGTCGATGGCGGACTGCTACTATACCCCTCATCACCAAATATATATCCGGGATCCTCCATTGGGCTGGGGCCCGTCCACTCCCCATTAAATTGGTTCTGGGTCCCCTGCAATAATTCGCGGGCATCTAGGTCTAATAAATATGCCTTATGTACGATCATAAATCGCGAAATCTTAATCACGCTGGATAAAATAGGCGGATAACTATGGGGGTCCTTCCATAGTCGTCCGCCGTCGTGGTCGCTCACGCCTAACACGGCTAACGCACATACTAACGCGCACTCGTATTCGCTGGACTGGATTTGTTGGTTTAATAATTCGATCACAAAATCCATACACCGTGCTTCGACGGGCTCTAACCGGTTAGCCTGGTCGTCGGGGTTCTCGCTCGGGATTAGGTCGGGACGGCCCGTGTGGGTACGACCCTCGGCGGCCCGCCATAATACGTCCTATACTATACGCTACTGGTGTTTAAACCGGTAAATAGGACTGTTCCACTTATAGGGGGTTTACGTGCGGGCGAAAAATATCAATATCCGCTAGTATGGCTCGACGTGACGATCTAACTCGGTGCTCTCGTGTATATATGCCTGTAATAGCTTAGCGGGAATGCTTTGTATATCGGTTCGTGCGGCTTCAATGCGTAATAAATGACCGGTTTGCTTCGTGATACTCTGGCTTTTACTTACGACGCTAAATATGGCGTCCTATATCACGCGTGCGGTGGCCTCGGGGCCCTTGGCGTCCTCGGCTGGCGTTTTAATGTATATTCGTAATTGCTTAGACGTCTGGCCGTGCAAATAACGTACCCATCCGGTTCGGTCTAACCACGGGTTTGCCTCGTCAATTGCACCGGCCTAGATGACCGCGGGCTGCTGCTGTTGCTAGGTAAATATCGCTTATATCTCATCCACAGCTTACGCGACGCGGCGGGCCTAGGGCGGTGGGGCTTCGGGCTCGTACGTGGCCCTAGGCTAGCGAATATAAATATAATGCGATCCAAATTTGCTACGGAAAAACCGCTAGCAAACGACTTATTGCATTGCTTGATCTCGCTTCTTCTATCCGGTGGCTACCTCGGACGGCCGTGGTTTCCGGCTTTATTAATATAGGGAAAACTGATGGTTGACCCGCTAATGCTTCCGAATACTCTCGGGGGACCGATATATATACGCGTAAAATAAACACTTAATACTATCAAAATGGACGGTTAAACCCGCGATGGGCTGTTCTACTTACGTGGGGAACGTACTAGGCTCGTTGTGTACTTCGTCCCACTCGTCAATAATAATTTCCTTTACCCGCTACGTAACACTTATAGGGATACAATAGTCACCCTAGCTTTTGCTTAAATGGCCGATAATATCTCGGGGAACCATGGCATAGCCATATTTCTTGCAAATAGCAACGTGGTATATTAGATTATATAAAAAATAATCATGGGCGTTAATTAGGTTATCCATATTGACGTTGGAAATATATAACCGTTACTCTATATCCGCGGTGGATGGACGAAATAATGTCTTGTGGGATAAACGTAAATAATGCTAAAATTGAAACTAAATATTGGGGAAATCCCCCTGAACACTACCCCTCTACTTATAATATGAAACCCTGCTTATTCGAATATGATGGATCGCGTGATTTAGTGGCTGGTAATATACTGGTGTGTGATGGTGTGTGATGGAAACCCTAAATGCCGTCCGGTCGCACCCTATCAAAATAATTAACTAATTTTTTGATCCCTATAATGACCCTTTAACAATGGCTGATGGGCTTTAAATTCTGCCAAAATACGTGGGGCGCGCTGGATTAAATTTCCCCGAGCTTCGATAGGGATCCGATCAAAAAAAGCCTACTGGTATCTGGATTGGCGTTTCTACTGGTATGTATAAATGGGCTCCCATAGTTAACGAAACCCTAGTCTACTAGGATGAACTGCATCCCACTTACCCCTATGGGATAGGGGAACTTTCGCCAAACTGCCGCTGTTGACCGCCTGCGATCGAATAAGTTCAACTTCTGGTCTGGCGAGACGACATAACATAACAACCTTTTCGACATCGCGCGCGCTATAGTCTAACCATACACTAACTAGATCTATAGTAACCCTAAACCCTATACACAATTGGGCTTTGAAGCCCCCTAAACTCCAGAAACTAATAATTTAGGCTTACTCTCAAACCCTAAGCGCTTCTCTCTTACGCTACTCACTTGCGCTACTCACTTGCGCTTCTCACTCGTACTCCTCACTCGCGCTTCTCACTTACACTTCTCACTTGCGCTACTCACTCACGCTACTCTTTCGCGCTACTCACTTGTACTACTCACTCGCGCTTCTCACTTGCTCTTCTCACTTGCTCTTCTCACTTACGCTTCTCACTTGCGTTTCTCACTTGCGCTTCTCTTTCGCGCTACTCACTTGTACTACTCACTCGCGCTTCTCACTTGCTCTTCTCACTTGCGCTTCTCACTCGTACTACTCACTCGCGCTTCTCACTTGCGCTACTCACTGTCGCTTCTAACTTGCAGTCGCAAATCCCTGACAACTATTCAATTCCCTAGCTCCTATTTATTAGAGTCTAATTACCGCAATCACATTATCGATAACGTCTTAATCGCTCGGAACACCGCCGGTCACGTTGCTATTTCTTCAGGGGGAGTCGCCCCCTATCTTAACCCGAAATATATGTCCTTTCCTCTATTCTTGGTTTACCCGCCGGCGGATTCGAACGAACTGTAAGCCCAATCAGACAGAAAACACCGGCCTTATTTCACAACAGAGTCAACCTAGTTCTCACCTAGCGGAACCATCATTCGGAGCCACGGGGAGACCTGCGGCGCTAGAAAGCCGATAGAAGACCTGCGTCAATCTCGACGCTTCCATACCTAAAAACCATGTTTCCTGTGCGAACCATTCGTAGACCTTTTCAGAGTCCTCTATGTCAATAGTGTCTCCTCCGTCGATCGACCTAATCGCAAGCTCGAATCGTGGGGTGTCAAAAATTCCAATACTAATGATCGTCGGCGCCATGACCCGGGGGGCATAACATGTACGATCCCTAGAGAGAAGTTTAGCACGATTAGAGTGTTTCTGGAACCTATCGCAGAACGACTTAGGGAGCCCATAGCCCCGATAGGACCTAGATCCATTTTTGATCCGCTGAAGGACCTGAGTGCTCTCCTAACGAACCAATTCAGCATTGACCCCCTCACAAGAGGGGAGCGCGTGCGTGCGCATAGAAGGAACAAGACCCTCCGCGCGACAGAGAGGACAGTCGCGGGCCCAATCCTCTAGTGCTCGGGTGAGGACTTCCTCGGGGGACCCGAAGCGAGCGATCAGATCAGGAGAGCCGTAAGTGTGAAGCCGAGGAGACTCGAGGGCCGTGGGTATACGTAAAGCCTTCCTACGGGGCTTCTTCGAGGGTCGTGTGGGAGCTTGCGTCGAGGCAGATGACGCTCGGCCAGCAGGCTGGTTGCACTCGATGCTGGGATTTCCAGGGGCCGAGGAGGACAAGGAATGAACAGAAGAATCCTTCGATGCACGTACGCGCTTGCGAGGATAAATCGGAGGGCTAGAAGGCGGAGGAGGTGCCTTGTCGTCAGTCCTGGGCATTTGCGCGGTAGGCCTCGAGGTATCGGTGCAGTTCCGGGCTGCCTGAGGCGGCTGGGCCAGTGCAGGCCTATGTGGCTGGCCGTGTGATCGTGATCGAGTGGTGCGATGTGGCCGAGCGGGGTGGTCCTGCTCCTACACCTCCGGGCTGGCCGGAGAAAGTTGACATGCTTCTGACAGACGCGATGGAGGAGCTAGCGTTTTTGCTGGCCCTCGATGCGACGAAGGGGGGCTAGAGGACCGGGGCGGGTGAGACACAGGAGCTGGCGGCCTCGCGGACGCGCTCGGCGATGCAACTTCGGCCGGTGTGGCACCCGTCTGCAATAGCCAGTTCGCCGGAGGCGAGGACAACCTTGGAGGCGGATCATGCGAGACACCCTTATCGGAGGGGGACACCAAAACCGCGAATCGCTGGGAGCCGGGTCCCCGAGAGATGAACTGCTGGCTCGGAATAGGCGCCCAGGGAGCAATAGCCGTCGATCGCTGAGATACGTGAGGAGGTTTCCATACGTGCTGAGTTCGGCAGTGTTCCTAGATGCGATGTAGACCTCGCCCGATCCAGCGGCAGGACAGTTCACTGCACTGGAATGTGTCTTGGTAGACCGTAAGGAAAGGCACGGCGGGGATGGGCTTGCGTGGGAGCACGAGATTCTGAGCAGATTGAATGCGCTGAGGGAATTCCTGGAAATATGAGAGGACTTCCCTCGGGAGGAACTGCGCCTTGTCCGGAGACTTATGATGGAGATGGAGATGACGATTAACCTGTGCATCAAACACTGCGCGCTGGCAGGGTCGACAGATCATTATATGAAATGGAACGTGATAGTGGAAATTTTGCCGGAGAGCCTCAAACTTAGGATTGACCGGGGGCTGCATAACGACTGGTTCCTCGGCCATGACCTCAAAAGTTCTGTTAGGGGTTGGGTGTTGATAGAGGAGTACCGTGGGAGAGTACCGCGAGAGAGTACCGCAAAAGGTGTCGTAAGCGGGCGGTCGGTTCTTCCGGCCCGAGAAGTGATGAAGCCCTAATAAGTAATATCTCCAAAGTCAAGCGAAGACTACGCTAGGGTCTCGCTTGAAATTTGCGTCGACTATGGCTATTATGGTGTTCCCCGCAGTTCAATCAATTCCTAGAAACAGCAATAGAGAGGAAGGAGGAAGTATGGTTATATATATATATATATATATCTATCGCCTAGCTGAGTGGATGGTTTACAACCAGGGCCCTACAGAATGTTGAGAGATACTCTGAAGCGCTCGGTGGGAGGAACCCTGCCGTCGAAGTGCCTCCTAAAAGCGTGCATGCTCCTTTTTCCAAGTCTCCTGGTCCATTCCCTTCATGGGTCCCTCTTGACACGGCCAGTGGCGGGAAATGATCAACTGGCTATCCCAAAAGACCCCGAGGACCCGTTCGGCCTCCCGAAGATGGGCCCGCATCCGCCGGAGACGCCGGACGAGACGCTCCCGGTGGGAGCGATAGTTATATGTATCGGAGTCCTCGTTATCGAGTTGGGGAGCGAGCCGTCCGAGACTCTCTCGGCCGGGCTGGGATCGCGCCCGCCACTGACTGCCGAGAATGGGATGGTCGAGACTGGCGATTTCTTGCTGAAGGGCGGCGATAGAAGCTTGGAGGTGATGGACAAGATACCGCTGGAGCCATTTCGGGTCCCTGTGGAGCTCGTCATCGCTGACCTCCTTCTGCCGTCGGAAAGAGCGTAGTTCGCGATATACAGGTGTGTTCGTGCGAAGATACTGAAGGAGCGCCGTGTCTCGCATCCCCTGGCGGGGAAGGGGGATCTCAGGGCGGGGAATCAAGGATGGCAACGGTTCCACGGCCGTAAGGACAGGCTCGAGATCGTCGGGAATCACAGGCAGCGTGATCTGGAGCGGGCACGTTTTTGGCCCGCATTCCCACCCAGTCACCGGAAGCGTATCCCAATCAGCCGGGGAGAACGATGGAGCGTGAGAGCCCTACCGCCGATAGAACGCCATGACGCCGGGGTGAATGCTTGACCAGGTCTGGAGCTTCTTGTCGCGGGTGCGAGACCAGAACGCCTCGCTGGTCGGGTACGGCAAGATCCAGTGAGTTCGGATCCACGTATCTTGGAGCCGCCGGCGCCAGGCCCGGGCTTGCCGCATGCCGTGCGTCTGCGCGATGATTCCGTAACACTGTCGGTAGAGGATCCGGTAAGGCTTGAACTCCCAGTGCTTCCGAGGCCAATCGCCCTGATTGCCATCTCTATCCCAGCCCCAGAGCCAGACAAATAGCGTGTCCAGGTGGGCCACTTTGATATAGGTCTTCTGCGCGAAGTGAAGGTCGTCTTCGAGAATCCCACCCTCAAAGACCGACCGAACCCCCGTTACGGTCAGCGGAACGTTGCCCGACTGGGCGGCGGCGATCTGTCGAGAGTTAAGGGGCTGGGTGGTCTTGCGATGGGTAAGGTGCCGGAAGACTTCCTGGCGGAAGGCTCGAAGACAAAGGTCGCACAGAAATTGAAGGAGCAACGCCGATCGATCGAGATCGAGATGATGCTCGCGGAGGTGTAGGGTGAGATCGTGGAAGAGAAGAAACTCCGCCTTGGCCTCCTTTACTTCCCGATACCGCCCGTAGTAGGCGGACTGGACACTAGGCGTATGAAAGACTATATAGCGGCGGCAACTGGGCCGAAATACCATCTGAGCCTAGTCGACCTTGTCCGCTAGCCAGGCATACCCGGACCCTTCGAGCCGGGCACCTATCCCTATCCCCTCCTGCACCCGTTCGATATCAGATCCCTCCGGGGGAGGCTGGGTGCGCCGGTCGATCCAGAGGCCAAGGCTCCGGCGAGGATGGTTTCCTTGCCCGCCATATACGTAACCAAGGCATTTCAGAAACATCATTATCACCTGGGTATGCTCCCAGTGCACAAAGGTGCGATCCCGGAGACTATAGGTTACCTCGAACCTGAGGCAGAGCTTATTAATATTCCAACGCCACTAGTCCTGGATTAACGGCGTCGGGTGAGCAAAGAACGGGTGGGGGCTCTGGGGTCCGGGGAGCGGAACAGAGTCCAGGCGACGCTGCTAGAGGATCGTATCCATCGCCACCAAGACGGCGCCGGTGACTCGATATTCCTCGCGGGTGCTATAGGAGCGAGACCGACAGCCCTGGAGGGCGGCATAGCAGCGCTGCTTGGTGTGGATGTACGCGCGAATCAGGGCCAGAGGGGAGTGACTGATAGCGCCACCAATATGCTGCTACGAGCGGAGCATACTAGGGTCGATCGCAAGAGTATCAAGCCGTGGATTTGCGAAAGGATAGACATTTCCCGCGGCGAAAACTTCCTTGGACGTGTTGTAAAGCTAGCCGTAGAGCAAGCCTCGTTTCCGGAGGGTGCTACGTCTGAAGGGCGCAATGGTGAGAGAGCCCTGACCCCCGGTGAGGGATTGGGGATAGAACTCCTGTTGCTAGCTAGCGCGTTCCGTAACGGTGGGTTCCGCGTCCGTTGGCTCTTCCCCGGGAGATGATTCATCTGGCGAGTCATCGTCGGCATTCCTGGCCGGCTCGGGCGAATCGAGACGGGGCTCCGATACGGCCCGGGCCGAAGACCTATCCGATAGAGATCCTGATGCCGCCGCGCTTTGGGCCAATTGGCGAGAGAAACTATCGAGGCAGCAACGCCGCTAGCTGAGGGTGAGAGTAGCGTCCGGGGCATCTCCTGGCGCGGCGGTATAACTACCTGGCATAACTTCCTTAGCGATATCATAAAAATCTTGCTGAAGATACGCGGGATTGATGGCCCGATTCCATTTCCCGAAGAAGAGGTCGCGGGCTTGGGCCTAGGTGCGGCCCCGGGTAGAGAGCTTGAGGTTCTTCGCAGTAAGCAAGATTGAGGCCCCGTGGAACTGAGTGAGCCCGGCCTCGGTGGAATAGGCCTGGATCGCATTCCAAAGCGCAGGGAGATATTCGGCGTGCAGGGGATAGTGGAGATCCTAAGTATATAAAACATCGGGTGCTCCCCGGGCCCGACCTTCGACTGCCGCAGCGGTACCCATTAACTGGATATGCTGGGCGCTCGATGGTATATACTGGACGGTCGCACCGGGGTAGACCTTTTCTAACGCGGGCATAAAGATCTGGTTCGTCTATGTTTCATATTCCTCGAGTGTGATCACCTAGTGGTCTTGGGTAGGCTCGTAAAGTCCAGGGAAGATAAGATACAATTTAACTTCGCGGAAATCGGCCAGTCGCCCAAAGGGGAGGTGGGGAACCTGGTGAACTGGCCGGTGGTGATTGCGATGCCGTCCACTGGAGGGGTTATACTAGCGAACCGGTATGTAATCTAGGTGGAGTGAGCTCCGAAGGTTGCTAATCGCGGCGCGGCCAGCTTTCTATGCGATACCCTCCCGAGCGACAGCCAAACTCGAGGCAAGCCCCCCAGTACTATTGACGTCGAGCCAGACCTCAAAGTTTTTGGTATCCCCTACATTATCGGACTCGAGATCGAGATTGATAGGCAGGGTGGGAGCAGGAGGCTCTCCCGCCGGTGTGAAAGGGGAATCGGAAAGGCCAGTAAATACTTTCCGCCGCTGCTCGATGGGAAAGAGGGTGTTCCAATCGACTCTATATTGAGCAATAGTTGGTTGGGAGAGGACATTAGGGCAGGTCCACCCACTGAGAGTGGATAGAGAGGCTTGGTCGGAGGTAGAGGGTGAGGGTGCTGCGCCAAAATGCTGCTGGCACTGGTGGGATTGTTCGAGCTGGTTGATAAGGCTTGTGGCGAGTGGTATAAGAGGTAAAGAAGTGGCACCAGCATTAAGCGAGATGGTAGGTGTTTGGTGGAAAGGCTCAAATAAGAATGCTGCGCCGGTAGAGTCAAGGTCTGGTGAGCTTAGATCCGGGCCAGGGCTCGAGGATACATTTTTAGCTGTAAGGCTAGATAGCCGATATATTGAGGGGTGTTCTATTATGTTTGTGTATTAGTCAAGCGGAATAATCTTTATGCCGGACAATAAACCACTGATGTCTCCTTGTTCGGGGTCAAAAGGGGGGGAAGGTTCGTCTCGACCGACTAGGTCGGCCGTCTGCTCAAATGGCGAAGTCAAAGGGTAAATATCCGTCTCGCGCGGGGGTGATAGAGCATCGAGAGCCTCGTGAACGGTATCCAAAATCGTTTCACGAGGAATATCGATTGATAGGACATCAGGAATGGCACGAGGGTCACAAAAGAGAAAAAAAGGATAAGTGTCGGCCAAAATGGATTCATCGGGCTGCTGGCCTCGGCGACGAGTTGCATGAGTCCGCCACCGGGTGTGGTCGTCTGGGAATCTCCGAGGACGCCCACGAGGGGCCATTGTTTGGCGTTCGGCTCGTGAGATCGAAGGGCAGGATAAATTAAAACTTACGTCTCTCTTCAGCTGAAAATAAACGTGATATAATAGATCGTGTGATAGCGGCTGTGGCTCTTTGTTATTATGGGTTGCGAGTGATTTAATAGGCCAATAGGCTTATCTGATCCACAAAATCCTTGGTTAGGCGCTTAAGATTTAGGGGTTAGCCGTTGCCCCTCCCCCAACCACGAGTTTATCGGAATAATCCACGGATTTTCCCCACAGCGCCGCCTTACTTACTACTACTAACATTCACCCCTAGGACTTGTCAGTTATCAAAAAAATAAAAATGTCTACGCCTAGTAGTGAAGCGAATAGTACCTAAGCGAACGCTAGATCGCTATTGACTGTCAACTCGAATCAGCTACCGACCACTACAAAGGTCCGGGGACCCTACCGGGTATGGAAGATTGACAAGGTCCGAGCCGAACGAGCCCGACGAACCATATAGGATTTCCAAGGTATATCCGAGAAGAGGCGAGTTACAACATGGAACGGTTATTAATATAACTATGTTGGTAGACGAAATACGTCGCGAGGCTTCGAAAACGACTGCTTCAAATACCCGATCGACGCTCGACTCGAGAAGATTCACGGAACTTCTGAGCTCAGACGATGATAGGAAACGTCACCCAGCCTCGCTACGGTCACAAGGAGAATCATCGCGACCGTAACGAACCTTAGGGTGGTTAACAACGCTTAAGAGTAAGGCGGTCCTACCCTCCGTAGAGCCAATCCATTTAGAGTCGGAGGAGAGCCCATAAGATAGTAGGATAATTAGACGAGACCAGCAAGGTACACTGGCGCCGACGGGGCCCGACCATGAAGATATCCAAGGGACACACCAACCATCGTCGGATCGCGGACGTGGTGCGAGAAGTGAACAGTCATGGCAACCAAGTTTTTCTGGCTCGGCCCTTCGTGCACTATCGTCAGTGGGTCGGACCGGCACTTCCTAGACGGACCGCGGTGGAGGACTTAACTAGGCTCTACTACGCGAGGTTTTTAGCCGAGAGCGAGAGGCATTACCATCAGAGCAGGCGACCGATCGTGTGAACCAATAGATACCACGTGCTATAAGTGTACGGGCTTCGTCGTTCACCGGTGTGTGGAGCGAGACGGCGACGAGAATTAGTTCTGCAGGACCGCCCGATCAGACTCGCGAAGGGCAGACGGGCTTTTTGGAACGAACGTTCCGAGTGCTATATGCGGAGACACAAGAAAACTAGCCAGATGCTACGATAGATAATGACACAGATACTAGTGAGGTCCAGGGAATTAACGTGAATGATATATTGGCGAGTCGACGCCTAGGGCGTCGGCCGCAACTACTCTCGCGAACGATACTACGGCAACCCGACCCTTCCTACTAGGCGAAGAGATAGGAAAGAGAGCTTAAGGTGCTTAACCACATAAGAAGAGCCCTACCCCCGAGAGGGCAGGCTGAAGCACCTATTATGGAACGCGGACGCCGCCATCATCAAAAATAGAGGAAAAAGGAGGTCAAGCGACTCTTGAAACTATGGTTCCAGTACGGAAACGCCTGGTCCCAGATCAAGGCGATAGATAATAGGTCGCCACTGCCGCAGTTGAGCGATCGGTCTCAGGTGGATCTTAAGGACAAACTACGGACTATTAAGGCCTGGATGTTACGGTAAGACTTTCGAGCGAACATAGAAAAGGGAACTGAGGGCTAATCATCTTCACGGTCAGGCATAACATTCCAGTACCAAGAGAGTTTGGGCAGATCGGACTGAGTCCGACCCAGCTACAGCGGATTGCGAATGTATTGGGAGACATTTAAGAGGGCTGGCTTGGCTGAGAGGGGGAAAATCTTTGATAAGGGTAAAAAAAGTGGGTTAGAATACTTTATTTAGTTAGGGTCTAGCTACGCCTTACAGAAATCTTATAGTTCTTCCGACATAGGCGGCACAAAAGAGGTTTTGTCATCTGGAATTAGTGCACAGCCAGGACATGGCGTAACCACTCCTTAATAAGGCTTTTCTACGTTGATGAACGAAACCTCAAATCTCTTATATAATTAGGGGTTAGGTGCTTTCTACGGTTTTATTGCGACGAGTGAGACCGATCATATTTGACCAGAGCGCGTAGAGGAAATCCCTTATCATCCCAGGCTAGAAACACAGCGCGTTTCTTACCCGGGCATCAGGATGGCGGACGACAGGCACTACAAGCCCCGGAAGCATATCAATTGCGTGGACCTACTAGCGGAATTGAAGGAATTGTCTCCTTCGCGCCGCCAATCCTTCCGATCAATCTCCCTGAGTGATTATTTCACCGATAATCATGGCAACCATAATACGTCTTTCTGGTGCCTCGCTGCCTTTTTAATCGACTAGGAAGAGATAGAGGAATTCACTATTAAGATGCCTGATGACATGAATGCGTCAGAGAACTGCGATTATGATTATTATTTTTGGTGGGGGCGGCTACTCCCGCGGCTCTTATTGGGAGCCTTTGCTTAAGGCCGCTGGCGCGAAGTGCGTCTCGTTTATCCAAGAAACTATAGCGGCTTTCCTTTTCCTTTCCTCTTCCATAACATCGAGTATTATGTGGAGGAATGGATTCTCCCAAAATAACCACGCCTGTAGTGCGAGGAGTCACGCTATCTCCTATTAGACCAAGTGGTGGACATCTACGACTCTAGGCCGCAGCTACCAAAGCCCACGAAAGCTGAGGTAAACGAGAGATACGGGCGGGAATGGAATAGGCGCGGGATTGATTGCCGACTGGAGGACCCTCGTCCGGGGGAGCAGGGCACGGTGATTACCATTCGGTGGAAAGAGGGCGGGATGTAGGAGAAACGCCGACAGATGGCCCTCGAAGGGACTAAGCGTGGGGCCTCTAACGACGCGATGATTGATAGCGATAGGTTTCCGTGGCAAGCCTTGGGGCGGTTCCCTTCCTTTCTCTAATCACTACCGAAGTGGCGAGTAGTGCTCTGCACAAAGCACGGGGACTGCTTCATAACTAATAAGCTGCAGTAACACCTGATCTATTTCTATGGAGTAAGTGATGAGGAGGCGAAAGATGTCCTCTTTTCTTAGGAATGTCACGAAATTGTAAGAAGCTGGAAAGACGTTATCCAGCCCACTAGTGCGATGGGTTTGGCTGAGCTTCGATATCTGCCACTAATACAAGGCTATGGCTGTAGCGCCCTAGGTTGTCAATATCGTGGATTGACTCTCGAAAGCTATACTGCCCATATGTAACGAACCGGCTTTTCATATTGGAATCCGAAGCGCGTGTTTATACAAACCTTGACTGCAGTGCCGGGCGAGATCCATTATTTTGACGTATATCCGTAGGGCGATTGGCTTTTTGAAAGAAACGCAGAGGGTGTAATGGAATGTATTTTAGGGGCTTAGTGGGTAGACAAAATTTCAATTGGATTGACCCCATCAGTGTATTAGTAACCAGTTTCGTGAATATATATATTCGTCGAGAATTGAAGAACGTCCTGCGCTTCTAGGTTTAACTAAAACATATTTTTCGAACTCGAGGGGCGCAAAATGGGTACCCAAAGGGCAGAGGCTAAGGCCCACTGTGTAGATACTAAGTCGTCACGTCGTCACGGGTTACTATAGAAGCTTTGACTGGATGGCTATTAGGGGTTTACGATCCAAACCCCTAATAGAGAATTGGGTTTAGCGTAGGTCACGAAAATAACCTATTCGGGGTTAGCGTAGGTCACGAAAATAACCTATCCGGGAAGGCGGTCCCCCCGCATGGCCGGACCCGCTCCCATCGTTTCTCGGCAGAATCAACAGAATTCGCCAATTTTGCAGACGAATATTTCAACAACCAAGGCAGTTAGAGATAATCAGATTACATAAATATATTTCTTGGCCCTTGAAGAATACGGGGAGGTAGAAGAAAAAAGCCAATCCCTTACCTATTGCGTTGGCTCAAGGTCACGATTGTATGTATAGAAAATTTCTAATCCCTGTAACTACCTCTTCTTTTGATTGTACGATCTTTAAATTGAAACCGGGTATAGAGCGATCGCGAGTTTAGAACTTTTGAAGTTTTGATGATTGTCCGACCGATATTTTCAACTAGGATGCACTCGAGAAGTCCAACTGGTATGCACTCACTAGCGCCGTTTTTCGCCCATAGTAAAGCCAAAACCCTAACTGGTATGCAATGCATCCCACCACCCCCCATGGGATAGGGTAACCTGACCGTTCGTATCCCCATACAAGGCCGTGTTATCACAACTGGGAATGCGTCGGACCGGGAAAATACTTGGTCGGCTATACTGAATATTATATAAATCTTAGATATTACCCCTAAATATTGAGCTGAATTATCTTATAAGTGGTCATATAAACCCTAAGCTTACCTAAGCACTAGTAGTAGGGATAGCACTCGGTCGCACCCTATCAAAAAACCTATCGAATTTTTAAATCCCTGTAACTACCCTTTAATTTGGCCGAATTACCTTGAAACTCTCTCTGCGTATAATTTACGTACGCGTTTAGAATTAGTATACGTTTAAGCTCGATCCGCCTATGGGATATATGCCCATCCTGGGGGGTGAAAATATGCCCATCCTACCCCTGACCCACTTTTTTTCCCCATAGTTAAGGAAACCCTAATGTGCCCATCGTGGTAGGATGGGCACACCCCCATGGGATAGGGGCCAAAGTGGGTCTCTGAGATAGTAAACGTGTGTGTTCGAAGGGTAATCTGTTTTCGAAATCCACTGTAGCATATATATCGCTTTCTGAGTTGGTTTACCTAACTAGACCAAAAACGAAATCCAAGTAAAGTTTATAGTCGACTTTTGTGCGAGGGGTCAGGGTAAATGATAAACGCACACACACACACACACTGTATAGATATGGATAGGGTTTTCTTCAAATATAATTGCAAAAGTTCCATCTGTCTATACAATACACAACAACGAAATCCTACAGCGATTGCCACTCATCAATTATGATGGACAGGTTATATCTGAAGCTGGATGCTTTTTTGGCTCCGCAGAAAGACGAAGATGACCGGTCCAAGAGCCACCATGACGAAACTTGCAGCAACCTGTTGTTGCTCCGCCCTTATGCAACTTATTGGCACATCGCCTTAGAGCCGCGTAGATGGCCGATTCCAGGGCAGTAGTTTGGCAGTTGGTGCCCGTTGTGGTTGCACGATATGCATAGCCCTCGATTCTTTCTCCATCGGTATAATCGCCATAGGTCAACGAGCACACATCAGCATTGGACCGTTGCTTGATAACTTCAGCAACGTATTCGTAGATTTCCAGACCAGCATATGCTGCCAGGATGACCGAGGTACCAGCGACCACAACAGATGTGTAAACCTCAACAGTATCTCGTTTATCCAAATAATTATGCTCATAAAGGTGCGCATAATCGGAATTCACGCTGTGGAAGTATGTTGTAAGACTTCCCATTCCGTTGTCCCATGTCTCAACAGTTGGCACGTATATTACATGGCTTCCGTTGTAGCTCGCAATACTTGGGCTAATAACGCCAAGTGCGAGCACAGCAGCGCTAAAACTGCCAACCTTGACCATTGCCCCTGTGTGAACCGTAGGATGACGGCACACGTGTCTAGGAGCAACGCACAATAGATAACGAGGTGACTTATTTTGGCTTGTGTGGTGTATCTCTGGCTTTGGAAGCGTAGAGATACTGCTGATTGGTAATATCGGAGTAGATGTAGGGGGGAAAGCCCAGTGGCTTTGTTCGAAAAAGTTGAACGGAAGTTGCTAGAAGAGTGACAGATAGCAAGGTTTTCGATCTTTATAAAATGCCAGATTTCTCACGTTCTGAAAGCACGAAGACAGCCATAACAGTCTTAGCGTATATTTGGTCAAGAACTCTCCGAAATACAAAGACACAATAACTGACTGGGGGCTTGGGATCATATAGATCCACTCCGTGGGTGAAATTTTACTTTTAGCGCATTTTGAGGGTGGGGTCGTGGCCAGCCTATCTATACCAAGGCAGATGTGGATCTGGATGATGTGGAAGCATACGCGTTGAATCCACTTCTACAATATCAATGCGCTAAGTTCAATAGTGCGCGACCCGGTTCGTACTGTAGCTTTTGAAAGCGTGATTTACTCTAGCCTTTCGGCCATTATCCGCAAAACAAGCTACGTTGATCTAGCTGAAGACAGTGGTTTTGATTGAGCTTTTCGACAAGTACAACAAAGATACATAGGTTAAATCTGTATAGAATGCCTCACTCTAATGAATAGTGACATTGGTTCTAGCTTGTGGGTACGAGGCACTCCGCCTAGGGTACACCCGAAGTGTTCGTGATACCGAGTATCACCATGACGGCTCGAATGCCCTGCGTGAGCAATCGATTTGAGGCGAGGAAAAGGCATTGAATGTACAAACATGGAGCTCAAGCCCAGGAAGCCACGCCGTGCTATAGACTCATGGTCTGTCATAGCTTTAGGGCTCGATGTGGACAACCATGATAATAGTGATAATAAGTCGCTCGTTTGACCGAGCTTCGGAATCATGCCAAATCGTCAATACTAGTTCCATGCAGTAAAGCAAAGCGTCTTCCATTGTTAGATCGATTAAGGTTTACTTGAGGATCAGATCAAACTCTCAATAAATTAACAACTAATTACAGCGGAAGTCTCCGCGGCCCTCAAAAGGTGCTCTGGCTAAACAATAATGACACATCACACCAGACGCGTGCGTCATGCAATGCAATACGCTGCGTTAGTACACTGTGGCTCCCATATAGGCCAATGAGATTTCGATGCACCGATCGTAAATCAAATAGTACGCGATAACGGAGACATTCGGAAATTATCTCATATTTGATAAAAAGGCCGTCTATGTACTCCTCATGCATTTTGGCTTAGATACGGACATGACAATATCTCTGCATACGCCAATTACGTGGTCCTCCGGATTTGAGCTCGGATACAAGAATGATTTCTTTTATCCCGGCAAGCGCGAAAACACAGTGGTGTTGCATATGCTCAGAGCACCCTTCCGACCGCCTCCTGTACCGCCTACTACATTCAGCTTTCTGTTTACGTGTATCCTGATTCTTGTCACCTTACAGAAATTGATTAATCAGTAACATATGTCAAAGATGAGGAATTGAGGTACTGACTAGTACTGAACATGTCCAATAGAATCAGTTGATTGATTGAACGAAGGTCTCTAGATCGGTTAAGCAATCTCTGTGACCTATTGTCCGTGCTCTAGTGTGTTACGACACCGTACCCGTATTTAGTCATAATACCATACCAATACCCAGGGAAATTGAGCGAACTATCCTAAAAGGTCCTAGCGATATTGACCGCTTCCTAGGTTTGACATCCTATTTAAATTACCCCTTTTAGAATCTTTCCTTATATTTCAACTATTCAGTGGTTCCCAATAATTTTTGCGAAGTTTCTGCGGGCAGAGAACCATCGCAGAATAACTTAAAAGCAAGTCCAAATTGAACAGTGTCTCAAACACATGCGGCGGCACTGTAGGCCGGATGGCTTACGGCAATTCTCCGAAAAATGAAGCTAGATAAGTCGAGTGGATATCGCCCTTGGCGAACGAGTCCATCGTTTCGTAGTGTGAAACTTGATGAAAGGGGCCGGTAAATACCAAAGTATTATCGGTGAGATTCTGGAGGTGGAAAGGTGTGTATTGCTAAGTAAGTGTACGAAAGGATAGAAATATGCCTTAAGGGCGGTGCCGTATGGCAGAAAAAGTAGGGTAACGTGACCGTTCGTATCCCCATACAAGGCCGTGTTATCACATCGGATATCAAGTGGGTTCAGTCATATACTAGTCTTTTTTGAGAAAGGAATGCCAGGCTATCAGAGCGCACCTGTGCACAAGGCGCAGATTCAACAAGTAATGCTACATATATTCTTTTTATTGGAAATCCGGTTGCGGAACAAAACAAAAAAAATGAATTCCACGCACGAAGACCGTTGACTCCATTTTAGCAAGTCTGACGGTTTGATTTGGGGGCTATAGTCAGGGCGTACAAGGATATAGAAGCGATCAGGAACCAGCTCTGAAGATTAGGTGACTACGAATTTATAAATATATTTGTCCCGAAAAAATGTAAAAGTGGGTCAGATCTAGGTGAGCTATTGAATTTTTCTCCACTTGGAGAAGGAGAAAGAGGCTGCAGGCCCGGCGTAGAACTCGAAGAGAATCGCTTGACCAGAAATGAATTAAGGGAGAAAAGTTTTCAATATATCTGACCTTTTTACTTGATGGAAAGGAGGCACTCGTCTCTCGTCTATAAGAACCGGTACCTCACCGCGTGATACAGCTCATACTGTCTCATTATTTCTAGCATTGTTCCGTGCTCGATACTTTGAATACAGAATGTTTATAAGATTTCAAGACTTTCTGACTGCCGTCATTGGCATCGCTGGCGTCACCTCCGCCCACCAAAACATAACATTTGCCAAAAACTTTGCCCACGAAGAGCTCAATCAGAATTCTCCATTCTATGATCTTTCTGAATTTGGCTACTACGGCGGCCAGCTTCCAAAGGTCTACTATCTGAACCAGACGAGCCAAGAATCCGGATATCTTCCCGAGGAAAGCTATAACGAGTTCCGCAACATCATTTCTGGCAGCAACAACGCCACAACCGAGTTTATCACTCAACAGAAAGAGAATCTGATGTCTTCAAAGCGGTCCACCGCCAACACTATCAGCTTGACCTTGAAGAACAAAGCCGGCAATGGAAACTCTTACTCTATCGTGGCCAATCCTAAGACATGCCACACCGGTTCCTACGCTCCCTGGCACTATGTGATTATTCGCTACATTGAGGATGCGTACATTACGTTCTGGAAGAGCACTGCGTGCAATGGTCACAAGGGAAGCTTCAACCCTGTTTGCGATTACTACGATGACCCTGCGGAGGTTTGCGTCTTCAATTTCAGTCCTCAATCCTTTCGTACCTATTCTGGATGCCACCACAGCTATGGTTGGGGGAAAGGTTGCTCTGCTCACGCTCTCTGAGCGGTAGCAAGGTTTTACTTGAACAACTATTCGGGGAATTCTGTGCTTTTAGCTTGTTAAGACCAACATTTGCTAAAGCTGGGACTAGTTGCAGCTGGAAGGGTACCGCCACAGGCTTTGACCACCGTGATACTCAACAGTTCATTTGTTGTGTATGAAATATATTGTGCAACTACCGCTACCGCGACTGTAGATTGCTACAATACGTATATCTTGATTCAGTTTATGAGATATCAAAATCTGAAGCAACTAGAATCTCAAATCAAGTGTTGGTTGATGTATGTAAGGAAGTTAAAAATGTGTATATTAGCACATGGAGATGGCTAGCGAAATTCAGGTTTCTTGGCACTTATCTCAAAGTCTGCGGTGTTCGACAGCACGAACTGCCAGAATAACAACCGCCATTCCAATGAGGCTTTAGTGCATAAAATTTGCAGACCTCGAATCGATTTCGTACGAGTTATGGTTTTCGATTCGATTCGCGGTTTGCGGAGCGGTACCTAGGTCAATAAGCCTTGTCCAGGACAAGTACATCTTTGATCAATTAAGTTAGTTAAGTAGCAAGATACAGGGTAACTATGACACTCTGCGCCATGAGCCAAATTTGAGATATTCAAGCGTGTTATGACCATCCACTATTGGTCAATAAGCCATGGCAAGCCGCTAGTATTCTCCACGTGCAGGTTCATGGCTCAGTCACAGATAGACACCCTGCCTGTTTGCACTTGACATAAGATGGCCTGAGATAGTATGTCGAGATTTTTGCAATGAAACAATCGCATTGTGCATGATGAGGGTTAGTTTATCCGATACAGCTCGCCCTCGATATACGCTGCTATGCTGGGTGCTGCCACGGCTGGAAAGTGATTTTCAGCTCACTAGACGACTATTTCATGAAGTTTTCTAAAAGCAAGTTCATGGTCGGTCGCCCTAGAATGTAAGAGATGAAAGCTCACGTCTACGAAACATGAGAAACATAAAGAAACCAGAATAAACTCATATACTTTAGTTCTACTCGCGACCAGTGTTCCGCCTCGCCGAGTCCACACTCAGGTCACTCACTCTTTCTCAGAACCATCCAATCCATGGGCTGCCACTCGCACACTCGCTGGAATTAAGGGAGTAAAGTTGAGCTGGCACTGCATTCTACTGGACGCTATCCTTGTTCACCTGTCGCAATGTCCTACGGAATTATTCTTCTCATCGCCATTTTATGTACCTAGGCAGTTGGATCGACTGCTTGAAACTGGCCTATCCCATGGGGGTAATTGTAATGCGGCGCATTACATTTTAGTCAGCATCCGTTTGTGTAGCGTTAGGGTTTCCCGACCGGCCGCATTACATTTACATTATTGTCGCGCGATTCCCGTCAAAATTTACCCAGTTTCAAATCCATATTCAATTTATCAGTTCAGTAAGTTTCAACCCCATCCAGGCATTTCCAGAGTATATTATAGGGGTACGAAGTTCGTGAATTATTTTGATGGGGTCCGGTCGGCCACGCCATTCCTAGCATTAACTACCACCAGCCAACAATCATCCTATGATTTATTACAAACCAAGTAGCAGGAATTGTAGTTTGAGATTACCGTCGTAAGATTTAAGGGTTACTATCAGTGTCCAGTTTTATTTTTATCCACCACCGAGCATTTCCCAGCGATAGCGTTTTCCTAACCGCTATCTAATATATATCCGCAGCGTGAAGGATATATATCTATATCCACTATAAGTGAAGCCCTAGGACGCACTATTGCCGACCAGTATTTCATCCGCAATCAAGAATAGGGGGTCGCCATTTGCCGCCAGTGCGAGCATACGGTGTATCCCAAGGAGATTATTCACTATTTAACCACCCCCAAATATATACATCGGATCAGCCCGGGGATTGCACAGCAAGTATTTGATATTATTGACGATATATGGATCGAAGTGGACGACGAACATCGTGTGTTCCCCACGTATGTGCAACGCCCTATTCCGGGTTTGACTATTTACCAGGATGGGTTATTATACGCGATATGTAGTCAGATTTACCGCAGTACCGCCAGTATACGAGTATATTGGTCCAAAGAGCATCAGTTTCCGCGTACGGTTATCGGGGCAAGCCACGACTATCCGAGGCCGCCGCCGGACGGGAGAAGCGGGAGCAGGCCATCCAGCGAGTTATTTGCCAGCGATTATTTCCCTGTGGATTTGGGTCGCATTATATCCACGTCCGACAGCCCTATCCCGCGTGTGAGCCCGGCGCACCACCCCCCGAGGCCAGTCGGGTAGTGTCAGGACCACTGACTGACGATACCAACTACGGCCTGAGGCATACTTAGATGCCATGGCAGTATCATGTTGTTGGGCTTCACCGCCCGCAGCCGGGCCAGTCTGTATTTAAGTGAAGCCCCGCTGGACCTGAGAAGGGCCAGCGTTCAGTTTATCTTACAATCCACTACATTGTATTACACGCATATGAAGGTGTCTACCTCGCTTACCCATCCTGACCTAGAGACTACTGCGTGGTCTCACAGGAAGGTTGTGTATATTTAGTAACTTCTATCACATGATGATGCCGCTTTGATGTTTTATTTGTTTGCAGTGACTGGGAGCCCCACTAGTCAAATCGGGGCGCTAAGGGAATCAAATCAATTATAGCAGGCGGCCCAAGCTCAGAATCTTACTGGTTACGTTACGTCTGGGTGGTGGAGTTGGCTGCATCTGGTCCGCGGCACAATCCATAGGCAATTCAAACGGTGGGCGTGCGACCTAGGTTCCCAGGAGGGAGCGTAAACTCTGAAGGGCTCTGCCAAGGTTGCATCAGACGTAACCGTCGACACCTGGTGCAGGCAGTTAAAGTGTGCGCGATGCAGCCGCTGAGCGGCCCAAGCGAGGGCGACTCTCAATTTGGCTGAAATCATTTTGCCTGTCCTGCTATCAGTTCTAGAATTATTAAGAAATGGGAAACTGATTTTATATTATCCAAAAGAGGGTTTACTGATGATGCCCAAGAACTTAATTTATCGGCGTTGTGGTGCTGTACGTTTATGGTAAATTTTGCACTATAGGAAGAGCTTGCACTCCGAGGGACTAAATTAAGGCAGCTAACATTCAGTCTTAGCCTCTATGAATCGCATTTATGGGATAATGACAACCGATCTCCCAATTCCGGTATATTCAGCTGCCACGTCAAGGGCAGTCTTCCACTCATCTAGAGGAAAACTCTTCATATTGACAAACTTTTTGCCACGTGGAAATCGGCCACTTTCCAGCATCTTCAAAAATTGTGATATATCCTCTCTTTCATGCATGAATTTGCCTTTCACGGTGATGTCTTTTGCAATGAGCTCAAAGCTTGGTATAGGGCCGTCCATAAAACCTCCCATGAGGCTAACACGGCCCTTGCGTCGGATAGCCCTAATAGCGCTGTTTAAATGCGGCGACTTGCTTGCTGTTGGTGGCGAAAGATCCAGTACAGCATCGATGGTTCCAAAGGCTAGAAGTGCATTCAAATCCTTCTCCTTATCCCCTGTCATCTTGACTGTCTCGATATTGGCACCCGGAGTGCCCTCTGTCACATTTGTTTTCAGTCTCGCCAGCTCCTGCTCATCCCGGCCCATTGCAATGGTGTTGGCACCCATAGCAATTGCAACCTGAACGCCAGCACCCCCGAAACCGCCAGTGGCCGGGCAAACAAGGACAGTCTCACCGGGTTCGACCTTGATATCCCGTAGACCGCCATAAGAGACGAGGAGATAGCTGATGTATATTAGGTCAAGGATATCGTAACCTAAGCCTTGACATAACTTTGGTTCATTCAGAAGGATACAATTTTCCAAAGGAAATTTGGTGTATTCAGCAAATGTTCCATTGCGCCAGACATCTTTCATTAGCTTTTCACCTCGTTCATTGAATCCATCCGAGACTCCGGATAGGATCACAGCATTGAGATCGTCGCGTCCACGGATGACGGAATCGAGATACACCAAATTTCCCGGCTGCAAGGCGATGGCATCAGATCCGACTGCGACAACACGCCCAATGGCGCTGAATCCGCCGATCAGTGGCTTAGGAAGAAAGTAATCTCGCTCCCCATCGTAAATATCACGTTGATAGGACAGCACACTAGCACCAAGGACACGAACAATGGCGCTGCCAGCCTCGACTTGTGGGGTTGGGAGTGACTGAATTTGAAGGCCACTCAAATCCTTTGAAACTGATTCAAAAACGAGGCCACGATGTCGGGACGGAATATTAAAAGCCATGTTTCACAGCTGGATACAGGCGGCGGATAATTAGTGGATGTTGGAAAAGCGTAAAACTTTTTTGTTGGCTTGTCAGCGTTCGATGCAGCGATGTGAGACAGAACTATTTATGGTTGACGAAGCTTTTTTCCACCGGACATTAGAAGGAGGAAGCGTATGTCCGAATCCCTCGGCCGGTGCTTTCGATCTTAAGACCGGCTTCTGTCATGACGTATACTGGGACCTGAGATAATAGGATGGCCGGAAGGTGAATTCAGGTGTAGGCAAGCCTACTCCATATCGTCTTCGAGTCCGTTAGGACCGCTGATATGCCGAATCTTCAATCCTAAATGTCCACTCAATCAGTCGAGATACTCTTTATAGCAATCACTAGCAATTTGAGAAGCGTTTACAAGTTAGCCACTCGATCGATAATATTACGAGGCCACGAGATTGAGGATGATACCTGCTTGTCGGGCCTTTCGGGTTTGTCAGGGTTTTCGGGTTTGTCAGGGTTTTCGGGTTTGTCGGGGTTTTCGGGTTTGTCGGGTTTGTCGGGGCCCATGCAGTGATGTAACAAAAGTTTGAAACCCCCTTCTAGACCGCATTTTCCCATCAGGGTAATAGGACAATACCATCAGTACAGGGGATCCAACAAATTCGGAGACTAACGTGTTTCCCGGCTAGCCGGTCATCCCGGCTACGCGGTCACCCCATCAAAAATCCAGATTTTATGTAAACTTCAACAGCGATCTTGATGGCCATAAAGGC